GGAAAGAACAACACCCACACTGCCACTCTCTAAGATTCTAAACTTTGGAAGGTAAAAGGAGAGAAATGTTAATGACTTCCAATGATCTCCTCTACCAAACAAAGAGCCACAGTACTTCCTAGTAAGTTCTCATGCTTATGTGCTTCTCTGCAATATTCATACCTGCTTGACTTCAAAAGACACCGTCTGTGTCTCCTCCTCCTCCTCCTCATCTTTGTCCATCTGTTCATAAAACTCAAATAAGTCAGCTGGGACATCTGGCTTATTCTGAGCATCTGTTCCCTGTGAAGTTGATGGACCAAGGCCACCTTCACTAGATTTGGAAATCTGAAATAGAGGAACATGAATTTTCACCACAAGTTTCATTAGAGACACACTCTGCTCCCCTCTTCCCCCCACATTTAGGCTCATTAAAGAGGCAGAGTTTGTTACTGGCAGAATGAAGCTGATACAACAAACAAACAATAGCAACCCCAAACTACTCAAGAGTTTACCTCCAGTCACTGCAGTAATTTTAGAACAGGGCTGGACATACCGCTGATTTACTTGTGAATGTCTCTGTAATCAGCTCTGTCTCTTCACCTTCAGCATTTCTCAGGCGACATTCTTTAATTACATGGTCTTGCAGAAGCTGCTGAATGACATCAGGGTGGGTACTTTCCACAAAATACCTAAAATTAAAGAATAAAGGAAAACATTTTTATCAACTCATCACCTGAATAACTCACAGGAAGAGTGGCATAGATGCACAGCTAGAGGCACGCTCAAGCATCCAGTCTTGGGGTGCTAATTTAAAAATAAAGCCATTATGGCAACTAAAACTTTTAAAAGATGCCTCACACCAAAAGCATCACATACTGTGCAGTCATTCTTCCATCTTATTCAAATGCTGTCTAACCTAATCTGAGTGGCAAACTCCAGCAGAAATGCCCACACAGACCTCTCACATACCTCTTATCTGTGACACATGCAAATTAAGTAAATTGTTTTGACTGAACTGAGCTGAGTTTGTGAAAACACCAGATGTGGTGTTTTCAAGTCCTGTCCATAGCACCAGAAAAGCCCAAAACACAAACCCCCAAACTTCCAAAACACAGACCACCTGAAAATTTAAAACTAATGCATCCTGGAGATTCCTCAATGATGATGCTGGTTGGAGATCAGAGTTAGAAGATGCACTGACTTCTCCAGGCCCCTTCCAGCACTATCCTCTGGCTTTAAAACAAATCAGATTCAACAGACACACAAGCACCCACCTCTTGCCACTAGAGATAAGCCTCTTGCTTATCTTTCCCAAATGATTTGAAAACCTCAAAAGACATACTGCAAGTCCAAACACTAAAGAAACAAGCTACAATATTAAATTTGCAACCTACTTTTAAAAATGTGATGACAACCAGCGCTACCTCACGACAGCCAAACACAATTCATCAGCTAATGTACTAAATACTTCCAAAAGCTGTAAAAGTGATACCTGAGAGCTGTTACACTCAGCTGGCAGCTGTGAGAGCTCCTGAGAGCACTCACTCACTCACTCACTCAAAGCTGTGCATTTGGAGGGTTTCCTGCCACAAAAGCTGAGGAAGAAGCCACTTACCTGTTATGTTTCAGAACCAGCTTCACCTTCCCATAGCTGACGGTGCACAGCTACAAAGAGAGCAGTCATTAGGAAAATGCAAAAGAGAGATTCCATGTTTAGGACCAAACACTGCAATGGCTTTAGGTCTTTGTGGGGAAGCACCTTACCACAAAACATTTACCTGCACTGCTGTTATGCTCATGGAACAAACCTGAAAAGGCATTTTCAGAAGATGCTCACATCATCTCACACAGGGGATCAGGCACAGATTCTCACTTTTGATACCTAATCTCAAACTGTTTCCAAGACTATGAGAACACACTTGCAGGATAAGGCAGGCTGTCTCAGAGTGCCCCACTTACAGAGTGCTTCCTACATTCTGTCTTCCTTCAGAGCAAATCTGAGGAAACTTTCCCCAGGTACGAGTTGTACTGGCTGAAAGTATCTACAGACACTTAAATGTACTTTTTATAAATTCTACAAAGGCTATCCTATGAAAACAGTACATGTGCAGCAATACCATATGCAAAAAGACAGAAAAAAATATGTTCTCTTGAAACAATGACAGAAGAATAAGGTAGTTAAAAGTAATGAATGATTAAAAAATAATAAATCAATTAGGAGAGGCAGCAGGAAAGGTATTCCTTAGTAGAAACAGATGCTTCCTACATTCTGTCTTCCTTCAGACCAAATCTGAGGAAACTTTCCCCAGGTACGAGTTGTACTGGCTGAAAGTATCTACAGACACTTAAATGTACTTTTTATAAATTCTACAAAGGCTATCCTATGAAAACAGTATACATGTGCAGCAATACCATATGCAAAAAGACGGGAAAAAAAATGTTCTCTTGAAACAATGATGAGTGATGAACGATTAAAAAATAATAAAACAATTAGGCAGAGGCAGCAGGAAAGGAATTACTTAGTAGAAAGAGATATATTTCCAATGCCAGTACAACAGCCTTACCTTGATAAACTGAATTATTCCATCTGGGACACCAGTCTTGCTGAGTTTCTGCAAATACTCGGTGATGTCACTTGTCTGCAGGCCCACACTCACAGCAGCATACAGGGAGTAAGCAGTCAGCTTGTACTCGTGAATGTGGGTGGGTCTGCACACAGGCTCAGCAATGGCAACCAGAAAGTCCTGTGCATATTTGTAAACTGGAGAAAAGGCTTCCAAAAATATATGGCCATCAGGAGCCTACAGAAACAAACAAATGCTGAAGGCACAACAGTGTTAGTCGAACTGAATCTCATAATGAAGTTACAAGAAAATGAATAAACATGTAACTTTTGTCTTCTGAAAATGGTCCAGGAATTGATCTATGTTCTTTCCATGGCACTACGAATACACCACACCCAGATCAGTAAAGTTTTTACAGACTGACATGCTGGGGTATGCTTTCTTTTTTAATACTAAAGAAATTACTGCAGTAGAGGCAAGCTTCCAGCCCCATTTGCTGAAACAACAAAACTCCTTGCTCATTTTACACAGAATGAATGAATAAATGAATGAATGACAGGCAGCACTTGAGTGTCACAGCCTTAGGTGCCTGTACAACACTTGGTGACAGGCACCATGCAGACACTGGCTGGGAAACCACCTCTTCCCTAGATGATGCACCGCTGGCCAGACCTTGGACAAGTTTACTGACACCCCTTTCCAAGGACAGAGAAAACAAACAGCACCAGTTACAGAATATGAGGCCAGCCTGTCTTAGAGCACACTCCAACACACAAACCCTGCTCCTGTGTCACTGCAGCGATGGATCCCTCTTGTGCCATCAGCCAAGGCGATGCTCTCCAGCCCCCCCCGAGACGTCTGGGCCGTGCCTGCAGCACACCCGCGACCCGCCGGGAGGCTGCCGGGGCTGCAGCAATGCCTGGGCGCTGCCGGGGCCGCTCCAAACCCCGCAGCCAGGCGCGCCGAGGCTCTCCCCGCACGCTCCCGCCTGACCCCGCAGCGTTCCCGGCTTCTCCAGAGGAGAACACCCCTTTCCCGGCCGTGTCCCGCCGCGGTCCCACCCTGGGGCGCACGGCCACAGCCTGGGCCCGCCCTGCGCACGCACCACCCAGAGGGGCCGCGAGCTGTGGTCGGCCTTCAGCGGCATCTGCAGCCGGTAGTCCTTGGCGCCGTACTCGTCCACCTTGGTGCCGCTCTCCTCCACCTGCTTCCCCGCCGCCGACGGCACCGCCTCCTGCGGCTCCTTCCCGCCACCTTCGTCCTCGTCGTCTTCGTCGTCATCGTAATGGCGCTTCTTGGACTTCTTCTTATCTGGGAGCAGAGCGGGAGCCGTGACGAGCCGCCCCAGGTGCCCGCTCCCGTCCCCGGCCCGGCCCGCGCCGCTCCCGGCCCCGCTCACCCCGCTCCTTCCTGCCCATGGCCGCCGCGCGCCGCGCTGCGCCCGCCCGCGCGTCACTTCCGCAGGGCAGCGCCGCGAGGGGAGGAGACACCATCGTCTCTGTGTTCCCGGGGCCGCCCCCGCCACGGGGAGACGCGCGGGCGGGCCCTCGGATACGGGGGGCAGCCACAGCCCGGAGCAGCGGGAAATGAGGAAAAATAATTAAAAATTAACACAAGAAATCGAACTTCTGGAAAGCGCACCGTAAATAACAATAAAAAAGCCAACTCGGAATTGAGATACGAGAGTGACATTGCGCAGTGTTCTGAAGTACAGAATTCTTAAAAGAGAAATCACACTGTTGTCCCTACAGAGTGTTTTAATATATTTCTAAGTACAATTCGTGTCTGATTTTGGAAATACAAATACATTTCGAATGGTTAAAAACAAAAATTAAAAAAATATTTTGAACATCAGCCAGCTGAAAATATATTTATCTAGTAAATCATCTCTCAAAGCTTTTATATATTTAATTATTCTAACTAAACATAGTACCCTTAAAAAACAAGTTCATAAAAATGTAGAAATGAAACTGTGGAATAAGATTACTGGGATATATACACACACACATTCAATGCATACACAGAATTACAAGGCGGGGTTGGTTGGTTGTTTTTAAGTTTGGAAGGTTGTTAGACAACGGAACTAGCAAGCAATGCCCAACTCCTGAGTTCCTCAACCATGATAAACATAAGCAAATTTTTAAATTGTTTTTATATTTTTTTTATACACAAGATATTCCATGTAAAGCAGCAACAGCAGTGCAGTTACTGGCAGCAACATCTCAAAAGTAATAAAAAACCCCATACATCCAGACAGTAGTACATTGCACACACACGTGATTCTCATACACCCATCGACAATTGGTCAGAGTATTAAATCAGTGTACAAATTAAATATTTCCAAAAATGTGCAAAAAAGTCAACGTTGATAGAAAAAAACACCTTTGTGTACATACATTACAAACTGTGCCCAGCATTCAACTGAGAGTAAAAACATTTACAGTGAGAAACTGATAGATTAAATAGAGAATTTAATGGCTACATAAAAATGTACATTAGATCAAGAGTAAATTTACAAATTTTTATTCATAGCTTCATGAAAACTAAAAGCCTACGATCCAATTAATCTAAGTCTCCTCCACATATTTACAGTGATACTCCATTATACAACTCCTCCGAGGTCTGAGATGACAGACACTATGCTTTAATAAACCATCCCAATTTTAGGGTGACACCACCTTTTTTTACTGGTATTAACAAGAAACAAACACTAGGGAAATGACAATCTAATGGCTGTTCAGAAAAGAAAATGCAATCCTTGTTTTTATATCAACATTATATAAACCTCTGGGGAAAAAGGACCATTTGTTTTGGGGTAAGAAGCACAAAAAAGCTCTGATGCATTTCCTATGACTATCCACTCATGAGCTGGACTATCCTTTTCCTTATTTCTCAACAGAAGACCCTGACCCTCCAAATCCATACCTGTGGACTCAACATAAGGGTTGAACCATGAGATACAATTTTTATGCCGTTTAACCCAGGTCCTCTCCCTTTAAAATAAGTTTCTGAAAACGAAGCCCTAGCCAAGGTGTGACTGCTCTGAAACATGAGAAACATCATTTCCTCCACCCCATCTACCTCTCCACTCCTTACACACACATATTGCTAGAGGAAACCCAAGGATTGCACCAGCAATCTGGGAGCTGCAGTGTCCTGGGTTCAAGTGATGAGCGCCCTGGTCTAAAGCTGGACACACACCTTACTCAGGAGCTATCAGGGGCCACCACCTATGCAGGACTTAAGCTCTGCCAGCTAGAAAGAAAAATAAATGGTGTGGGCCAAGTGGGGATATCAAATGAGAAAGGAGCTCCTTTGTTTCTGATCACAGATTTTGATTCAGAAACCCTGGCTTGATAGCAAACATGTCTGACCCCTCAGTGCACATTAGTGACTCCTCCTGAAGGCAGCACCCACACCCAAGTAACTGTGGGTGACATCTGGCTGTCACATAAAGAGGACTGGCCGCTTCCCAGAGCTTGGGAACATTCTCACTATGGTGCACAAAACAGATCAGGTCACAATTTTATCTTCATGGTGTTCCTGAAATATCCTAAGGCTCAAACCCAGCTATAGTCACCAGGTTTTAAGTCACCAAGCTTATGCAGTAATTTTAGAATGACAACAGTAAGATTAAATTAGAAAGAGCTTTTAAAAAGAAAACTCTTCATTTTAATACAAGCATGAGTTTTGTATATCAAACAGCAACTGTAAACACCCACATGTCTGAAATATGGGCAGCGTCTATCACTTTTTACTAGTACCTGCTTTACTCAGTCACCAACAGCTTACTGGTGGATATACACTATTTATAAGACATGAAACATCACTTTTGGCTATATGTATATGGGATAGAAAAGCTTTGGTAATTGTATGTGATTCTACACTGCAGACTTGTCATTGCCACAAGACAGCAAGTTACCAGCAAGAAGAAATGACACTGGCAGTAATACTTTCGCTTTTCCAGAAACACCATAGGGACTTACATTCAAGCACACACATTATACTTTTCTATATGCGTGACACAGTCTTTCAAGATTAAAAAAGTAAGAAATTGGTTATAAATAACTGTAGATCTGACCAATTTTCTCAAGTCTCTGAAGCTGCAGTTAGACATTGCTCTATGTCCAAAGGAATGGCTTGCTGTACTGCACTGTACCTATGGGTGCTATGAGGCTTTCAGTCAAGACAACGGCAGGATTAGGATTAGCCTAAAAGCACAGGAAAGAAATCTGTTGGTTTGCTTGGACAGATCATATTCCTGTGCACTGAAAGTAAACAGCTTTTAATACAGTACCACACTTAGAAATGTACCAACTTTGCTTTCAAGCCCAGTAAGAAACTCTGCTGCAGTGTCTAGTACCCAGAGCCAGGAAGCCAAATCCTGACAATCCAGTTACTTCAGTGCATGCAGACAAATTCTCTTTCTGGCATGTGCATTGGTGTACAATATCCAGAATGCAAATACAAAATGTGTATTAGCACAGAAAGCCAAAAATCACTTTCAAGTTCTGAATTTGAATGTCTGCCTGCAGATTATAATTCCAGCACACTTTTCAATGCAGTTAGGCAAGCTCTGCTTAGGGCACTTTGAAAAACACAAAAGACTGCTAAGACTGCTTTGGTGACATGGAATTGTGTGACATATTTCAATATGGTGTTCTAACATGAACAAAATTAAGGCATACAGAGAAAAAGGCACTAGCTAAAAAAACCCCAAACTTTTCATTTTATTTTACTGAAAGGACTATTTAGCTACAAATCAAATTGGAAATCAAGTTAGAAGTTTTAATACTATATTTAAACTGTCAAGACTGTAGATTTAACTATGCAATTATTACATCCATACCTTTTTGGGTTCTTTCATGGACATTTCTATCACTAAAATAAAAAATAAGCAACTTTCTCTAACACAACTGAAACCTTGAGTCATGCTCTAACAGGGCTGTTAGTTACCCCATTAAAACCATACCACAGAAGTAGCTTTTGTCACTTAATATGTGCAACAGACAGAATACTAAAAATCATTAGATAAGTAAGACTTTTGAAAATACACATACTCACTGTGAATTTCAACCCTTATTCTTTGAGAGTACAGCTTCATTGTGGCATTTGCAGAAAAGCAAACCAACCCTGCAGCAGTATTGCTTTCACTGGCATTTTTTTATAATTGGATTCAATAATTAATTCATGATTCTAAAATGCTGGTGGCTTTTTAAGTGGGATACAAGAAGTTGTGAGTCGGGATCTTGGCTCTGCAATCCTATTCCATGGAGTTTAAAGCTTGAAATTCCATGCAACCTCACAAATTCTAGAATGAGGGGTCATTCACCATCACCCCAGGAGTCCCTGTAAGTGTTTAACAAACCCTGCATACAGCTTGTTTTACTACATTACCCCACTAGGGGTAAGTAATAGCCAACCTCTTGGTAAAAGCCTGATTTAGCTTCATAATTATTTCTAGCTCAAAGTATTTTTGTTAATAACCGTCTAATTTACTGTAAGTTATTTAAGTCAATAGAGAAATTATCCTTAGGGTGAAAAAAACTAGCTTAAGCCTAACCTTGGTTAAATTTGTAAAATTTTACTAGAATCACTCAATCTGGAAAACGTCAACTTCATTTAAGAAGCACAGTCTTACATAGGCAGCTTTCTGACATGCCAAAGGCATGATCAAAAATGCATTCTGAAAGTTGCTTTTTTCCTGGCTCCAAAATGCTGACCGTTGTCATGACTGAATGCCATTTTTTTTTAGAAAAGGCACAAAAGCAGCAAACTTGATTGTTCAGTAATTAAAAATCACAACAAGGAAGTGATATTGCAATATACATGATCCAGCACTGTCTCACAGAAAGGTCACATTATAAGTAAACTAGATTCTGAAAATTTTCAAGCTTCAGAGAATGCAGTTTCTCTTTAGAATAGTATATTTAAATGTTATGAATGCTACAGATAAACCTGGTTACATTTTCCCTTTAATGTCCTTTTTTGGTAATATAAAATTTCCTTACCTTTTCAGGAATCACTGACCACTACTGATTTTTATATACATTTTCACCTTGGTTTTGGTACCTTCTTAGTCTGAAATCAATCATTTCAATTACATGATTTTGAAAATTACCTACCTAAACTATTAGGCTCTACATTAAACTTCCCATTTCTACTGTCACTATATTTTGCTTATAAAGCAAAGGTCCCTTACAGCAGAGTATATACCAATTCTTCTTAAAGGCTGCTTCATAGCTTTTATCTAGTGAGAGAGAAACAACAACAAAAAAAAGAAGTCAGTACAAGCTGCCTTTCCTTTCAGCCTTTTACACTTTTCCTGGTTTGACTAGTTCCTTCTCTGTTCAGGAAACCTTGCACAATTGTGTACCCTGACCAAGAAAATCTTAAGTTGGGTAAAATACTCACATAAGCTGAAGAAATCACCACTCAGTCTCTGGAGAGATGGCCACAAAAAAGTCATTCTTACTCCACTACAGGTAAAGTGATTAGGATAGATCCATACTCCTGCTTATGCTCTGGCAAAACATATGGAATTCAGCAGAATAAATTCATAGATCTCATATGTGAGTGACTGTGGGAATGGGTAAGCTTATTGTTCTGTCTCCATGCATTTTGTAAACCTGATAGTCCTCTAAAGATGCAGAACAGGAGAGCCTTGCCAGACTTGACAAGGGTAACAGTACCAGCCTGCTCTGCCTTTAAAAAACAACAAAAGCAAGCAATGAATCATCCAAAACAGTAAACATAATTTCAGTTATTTTGTCCAATAGTTTATTTCCAAACGCCCCTTTAAATTATCTATGTTCTGTTCTTCTACAAAAATATGAGAGTCTGATTTTTCTGTTGTGAAAAGACAGTTATTCACTACACCTGATCAGTACCTGGGCTTCTCATCTGAGAAGCAATATTTCAGATTTTTACTTCTTTTATTATGCTCTTTCAGAAATAGAAAAAGTAATTAACATACTCTTTATGACAGCTGGAAATCTGACAAACACCAATCTGGATTATCAGGCTGGAATATTCGCACTCATGTTATTTAATTGCTGGCTCTCTGCACTTTTGGCCTGTTTTTTGTATAATTTTCTGTGCTGTGCCTCCTTCTTCATAGGATTCATCAGTGCAACCTTATTAAAAATATAACTGGAGTCTTAGCTTTCTCAGTGACTCTTTCCTGATGTTAAGAGATGTTTGACTTGATTTCAGCAATTTTCAACACATCCTAGATGACTGACCTGCATTACTAAAACAATTTTTTTAGTGCAGAATGGGAAGAATTTTATATTATTCAGGCACTTGATGTTGACATACATTCCATCCTAGCGCCTCTCAAGAGCTTTGCAAACATTTCTGAATCCAGTAACTCATATACTGCACAAGGATTAGTCACTCCCTTTCCCCTGCAGCCATTCATGGGACTGTGGAGGAGAATTGACCTCAACATCAGTATTTTTTTTATCAGCTAAGATAACTGTCTCCCTCAAAGCTTATGCAACAGAGGTTCTCTTTGGCAGATAGAGCAGGAGGCATTCTCCTAACTATTTACATCCAATAGCTGACTCTTGTCTGGCATGGAAAATTTCCCCTTTGCAGTATAGTAGTTTCTAGGAGTCTGGGCCCATAATCTGTTTACTTGTAATTATTTTCATATTAAGATAATACAATAATTCTACACAAAACCTCTAACTAGTACATCAGTTTTGAGCTCATTTTTGTTATTTTCTTTTGGTCACATAGAAGTACCAGCTAGACATGCTGCTGTACAAAGAGTTCCAAGTTCTTCCAGCTTCATCAATTAACTCTAACCGCATGTTCCTGCTTAAACTGTACATTCCAGAAACTGATTAAATTCTAAAATACAGTAAGAACTTAGAACTCTCTGCTGCAAGTACCTACAATATAGATAAGAATCACATAGAAGTAACCTTCTTGTCCTTTAGCTGCATGTCTATTTTTCCCTGCACCCTGAGTCAGTCAGCGGTGTCAGAAAAAGTCACACAGTTCCTGACTGTCCAAGCATTTGTAATTTTTTTCCTCTTTAAATAAGGAACAAATATGTACTAAAGTGCTTTATCTACATCAACCACATCAGTACATTATAGAAACAAAAAGTTCTAGTCCTGGTGGGAGCCGGGGAGAGAAGATTCTCATTTTAGATACAAATTTTAGATTGTTTACAATCTAAGTGAAACAAAGATTCAAGAGAATATTCTCTCTCTTGTCTTTTTTCTCCTTTTTCTTTGTAAAAAATAAAAAATAAAAGTGCAGTCAAATAGAAAATAAATGCAGTAGATGCAAGCCGAGTTGAGGCAGGTGTTAGTGATAGTGTGCAAACGTGTGTCTTAGCAGTTCATCTGCAAACGGTCGCAGCTTGGCCTCGATAAAAATCCGTTTCAAGAAATCCCGAGCGTGGTCGGAGACGTGAGGAGGGAGCTGGGGGTTGGTTGGCTGAGTGGCAATTTTAAAGATGGCAGCCATGGCTTCAAACTCTGCCCACGGGGGCTTCTCAGTGAGCATTTCTACCACTGTGCAACCTACACTCCTGAAACAGAGGCAGAAGTGAAACAGCAGGTTACAACAGAGTCATGTCCTTCCAGGAAAACAAGAAATAGCAGAGAAGGACTAAAATATCACAAGTAAGCAGGGTCCACATAACACTACAGAGTAACTTCAGCATAAAAGAGGCATTGGAATAAACTGGCATGCATTGCTATACCTTTATCTCAGAGTTACACAAATCATTACCTGTGTCTCCACTGTATTACTACCCTGGGCTGAAAGCTACTACCTCAGTGAAGGGATAATTACATATTTATCCAGGTAATATCAGCTGTGGTGGGGCACTGCCAGCACCCACTGCTCAGCAGGCCACGCACTCAGCACTGCACTTGGAAGCTTTCCTGCTCCTTGAGGCTGAACAGAAATGCAAAGCATCAGGAAAGCTCCCTGCATGCCATGTGTGTTGCCAGCTCATTAGAAATGCACAAGTTATCACTCACCAGTGAATCGTGTGCAAACATAATATGGCAGCTGAAGAACAAAAACCCTACTTCAAGGTATCTTCTCTTTTAGTTAAGGATACTAAAAATATACTTAGATTGACAGAAAAAAAGTTCAAGTTCCTAAACAATCTTTGCTCAGGAATAACGTTTAAAGAATTTAGGAAGGCAGAAGGGCATATATATGGCCAGAGAAACTTTGTTCCAGAAGTCCTTAAAGATCAGCATCTTCCAATAACAAGTGAACAATGACAGGCTGGAATAATTACCCAATTCTTAGAAAGTATGAATGTTTTTCAAGATGCTTGCAAGAAGTTTTGTGCTTAAACACAGGTACATTTCTTTACACAATAAGGATTTACTGACTGACAGCTGTCTAACTTCAGTATTTTTTCTTAAGTTTCCACCAAAAAACACACAATAACCTTGGTACCAAGGCTTCAAATTTGAACAAGCAAACTGCTTGATATTGCAAGGTTGACCTATTTTTCAAATATATCAGAGTAATTACTAAATAATCTGAAGTAGCTGAAATTAATTTCGCTGAGGTTAAAAGTATTGTCATTGCTTGGATACAATGTAGTTCCTTTTTAAACACACAGTGTTACTACTCCAGACTCTCTGCTGCTGCCTGCCCATTACTGTGTATCCACAGATCAGCTGGAGTGCAAGGGGTCTCTGCCAAAGTCATCTGTCCACTGGGCTGGAGCCAGGTTAGACTGTGGCATATACAATGTTTCACTTAGCTTCATTTTTGCAAATTACCTTTCCCTCTTAGTTTTTATGTATTTAATAACAACTTAAACCAAATTATTTTTTGATACTCCCTTTAAATCTGGCAAATTTACTCTTAAGTGTTCAACTTTAAGAGGAGCAGCATTTTATTTTCTGCCTTGCATCAAATGTATTTTGGTGTTGAAGTTTCATTAGAACACGCTGACTGAACTGATGTTTCAAACTGATGTTTCACATACACCTTTCTTTCAGTCAGTACCTCTCCAGAACTAATGAACAGTTTGGTAATCCTAACTTCATGCAAGGTCAGCTGAAAGCATTCTCTTATGATCTCTAAACTGATGGGCTAAGAAATTGCCACATGAAAAATTAAATTTCGGTGTTAAGACTCTGCAAATACGACTGCCAGCGTTCACATTTGCCACCTTCTTCAGCTTAAACCCCAGGATGAAACACTGCAGCTTCAGATAACAAACACCTACTCTCTGTTGAAAATGAAATGACACCTCTCAGTAGAGAAGGGGTTTTTAACATACCAGATGTCTGCTTTTCTGCCGTACCCTTCTCCGCTAATAACTTCGGGACTCATCCAGTAGGGAGTTCCTGTGACAGACTTCATTCCCGTACCAGACAGACAGATGGTCTGCAGCCGTTTGCTGGCACCGAAGTCCCCAAGCTTCACATTGCCTGCTGAGTCCCGCAGAATATTTGCTCCTGGAAGGAAGGGAACACTGCATTACCTTCATAAAAGACTCAAGGTTTTGGTGTGGGAAACAGGTACAGAAGTTTGGATTCAGTGATACAATTCAACATCAACCTAGGATTTCAAGCCAGAGAATTTACTTTCTCCGCTCATTCCTATTAGTCTACTCTGGAGTTCAGAAAATAATTAATTGCACACACTGGTTTGCATGCTAGGCCTTTTCCAAGAAGGGGCAGTCCCTTTGTAAAGCCCTCCTGACAAAAGGAATGTGCTATACATAGGAAATTAAAAGAAATGGGAAAGGAATTTCCACACAACTGAAGATGTCTCCATACTATTGTAATGCAAAACCTCAAACTGTGTTACAGATTTATTCAAAACAGGTATCCACGCAAGATGTACAAATTGATTGTGATATCTCAACCTGCTTTGGAACAAAACACAGTTGATACAAAGCAATAGAAAAATGGTAAAAATATTAGGGAATACAAAAGCATTGTGTTCAACACACCTATTCTGCACATCACCATCTTCCTACATATTCACACCTTGCTTATGCAACACCTGCAAGTCACCTGCACCTGTCTGCAAACAGTAGATGTTACACCACGCTTCCTAGCAGTAAAATGGAAGCACATTCCAAGTCTGATCAGGCAAGTCACCTCTGCCAGTCACTTCTTGTACCAGTGAAGTGCTGGGTAATTTCTATAGAATTGATGAAACCAAACTCCATAAATTTAAACCTTCAAGTCATGACACTTTTCTCTGCACAGTCTATTTCTAATGACATCATCCTCCAATATACTTAAAGCTATTAATAGTAAAATAAAATCAAAGGAATTTATCCTGCTTGTTTTACAGATGAAGACTAAAGAGACATTGCTAGAACTGTGCTAGAACATCACAAAGTTGCTTATTTTTCCCTCTCCAGGTTACAACAGTGACAAGACTAAAAGACAGAAAGCAATCACACTGATTTTAAGTCAGTATTTTGGTATTTTAAACTTAATTGCATTTTAGTGCTTCACATAAGAGTGGAAAAGGATCAGTAATAAAGAGCACTGAACTGTGCACAGAACTCTCATTACCTTTAATATCTCGATGGACAATCATATTGCTGTGCAAATAGTGAACTCCTTCCAGAATCTGCCGTGTGTATTTACGAGTCACGTTCTCTGTGAGTGCTCCGTATGATTTCAGTTGGTCTTTGATGGAGCCCTATGGCACAGAAGCATAAAGCACTAACACTTCTGGAATTCAACTGAAATTCAATTAAATTTATGCCTGAAACGTAGACATTTAAAATTACAATTCTTCTTGATTTAACCTTAAAACTTGTAAGCACCTGAATAGTCCAGTCCAATGTACAGAAAGAGAACAGCACCCTTAAACTTTCTGATGGGTAAGTGGTGACACAGGAGGAACATAACACATGCCCTTTGGGTTAGCTTATACTCAGAAAAAAACCTTGTCAGGAAAAAAACTACCACATGCTATAGGGTGGTGCCTTAGGTAAAAAAGACGAGGTAAGCAAATCTTAGCTTAAAATAAGATTAAATCAAAACTTTTTCAAAAATAGTTTTGCAATTATTTTTGTATAACCTGTCTCTGTCACATGGAGTTACAAACTGCTAAGATACTTCTGTCACATTTCCAAGTCTCAGAAAAATTCAAGAAGTCCCACAAAACAAGACCCAGAATTTAAAAAAATGAAGAAGCAAACAAAACACCTACCACCACAAAGAAAACAATGCCCAGATACTGCTTTTCCCCTCTGGAGTCTCATAGCAAGTAGACTGCTGTAACTATTCAAAAATACAGAGCCCTCTGTTTTTATAGGAGCACATTTTATTTAGCTCTGCTGACCTCACTTGGTGAGAAAATGAAAATCTACAGTTTTCTGACCTTATAATATTTCCTAACAAAGAAGAACAGCAGTTCAGCATGTACTAGGTGCCACACAAGAAGCAAGCAGCAAGATTATTTTCTGTATGCACTTATTCCCACCCCCACCTCAGCTACTTTTTGTTTTCCAGAAATACTTGAAGCATGGCAAACAAAACAATAAAATTCAGGGAGATTTAAGAGTTTACTAATGATAATATTGTCTTTTCAAAGACACTGCCAGGCACCACTAATGCCAAACCAAACACAAAGAGCTTTTGTACGAACCACTGTAAATTCTGAGAACCCAAGCAACCAATGGAGAAGACAGGAGGTTGCAAGCACTTGTCAGGACCTATCTTTGGTGGTTTTAATTTGGACAGTTTTAAATATCTTTTATGCAAAGCTGAATGCTTGGGTGCTCATCACACTGCACACAGTTGATGGCTGAAGTGGATGAGCTCTCTTGCTTACCCCAGGCATGTACTCCATGAATATTGAAAGTGTCCTTTCAGGTGGATCTCTCAAGAAACCATAATACTGAACAATTCTTTCATGCAGCAGATTTTTCAGCAACTGAATCTCACACTCAAGTGCATTTACTTCCTGAAAGCACAAAACAGGACAGATTTACCATGCTTGATGTAGTAAAACTAACATTTTGGATATGAATTTTTTCAGTCAGAGCAGTGTGTACATATAAAAGTGTTATGCAAACTAAGTAACAAAATACTCCTAGAGCTAATGTAAAGTTTTTGCATTTTATAACAAGAAAATATCAATGTTAAATTGATGCAATTAAAAACAACCAAAACTATGTATTTTCTACACATTATGTTTGGGATGATTTTGCTGGTTTTTCATTGTTTCTCTTTTCTTGAAGTTATGTATGTTTCGGAGCACAGCAGATATAAATACGTTCATGAGGTCAGTGAACACTGTGCAACATGTCATAAGCCTCCAGTTGGGTAAAAAAACAACAAAACACAGAAAATCACCCCAACATTTTAATCTTTGTGGTGGAATAATTAGCATTAATTCCAGGATTACAGACTATATTTTAAAAATGCCTTTGAGTACCACTTGATACTGTGGTAATAATGAAATGCAACAAAGGAAAACACTAACAGCTGGTGCTTTCTCTGGAGCCATCCAAAATCCTATAAATTTTGAAAACAGGAAGTAAGAAAGATATTTTGAAATGGACTGTACAATCAGATCCTGGAAAAATATTAATCCATGAATTCAAACTTGAGTAGATTCCCAATTTCACCTAGAAGTTTTTCATCAAAATCTGAATTTTTATCTGTCATAGCCTGTAATGGACACCCTCAGAATTCTAAGATTAGAAAGAAAATAGATTTTTTTTTTACACACAGAGGCACATAATACTACAAAATGCTATGATAGGTGAGCTCACAAAACTGTTGCTTGCAGAGATACTACCATATTTTAACATTTCCAAAACATAATGAGTTGTTCTGTTACACATTTTAAAGAAGCAGCAACAACAGCTACACTAGGAATCTACAGCACAAATGATTCTTGCCTTTTTCTTTTATCCTATCCACTAATAGCAGCAACTCTAACTGGCAGCCAGTCAATTCTGCAATCATGCTTACACCCATTGTTTCCCCAGCCTTGCTCCCCACAGTGCAGAATGCAGTCATAATGTAAGGAAAGCAATAATTCTCTTCCTATCCTGTAAAAAGCAGCAAGTATGGTTTGGGAAAAGAAGAAATAGCAGATCTGTGCTACTTTTAAATTGTTTATCTCCTTCAGCACTCAGTACTTAAAGATGGACAAGTTTAATTTTAGAGAGAGAATAAGCTAACAAGGAAACTTGTGCTCTTTAGGGAGAAACACAGTGTTACAGCAGCTAGTCTTGATGTACAATGTTTAAAAGAAACAAAACAAATAACAGTCCCCCCCCCCCCAAACATAGAAATACCGCCCCCAAAAGATGAAAAATAGGTAAGAATCTCAAACTGTCTTCATAGCTAAAACCAATTTCTTTTTGGCAATTGGTTTTCAGGAACACTTGTACAGCTTTTTCTGCTTATAAATGTAACTTCTTCCAATTCCTGTTAGTATAACTAATTATCTATTTCAGACCACACTACATAATAGATTGTTTGATTTTAGAGACTGAGACAGCACCAAATCAAATGATGCATTCTCACAGCATAAGGATCTATCTGAAAACTAAAAAATGTGACATAATATTAAAATCAGGTAAGCAGATTAATTATCTATGGTACTAACAAAACAGAATTCCTAACAAGGACACTGTTTCCTAACACAACATGATTTAAAACATGATCATCCTGTTTAAGGAAAGGAATGGGAGTCTGGTCTAGAACACACCACTTCAGCAGAAGCCTTTTCCAAGGTGTCCCTTGGGTATCACTCACCTTGCTGGTTTCTGGGCTATCGGGATCAAACTGAACTTGTTTAACAGCCAGTTCTCTTCCAGTGTCAGCATCGTAACACAGATACACTCTGCCAAAGGCACCTTGACCCAGCAGTTTACCAAGTCTCCAGTTAGTTGGAGCTCGTGGTGCTGAAAATATAAGTATGTTTTGGTTTTCAAATGAGCTTGTTATTCAGCTGATCGAGAAAAACTGGAATACACAGAAAATGATTTTTTAAAAGACTACTTTTTCAACAACAGAGACTGTGCGTCTTAAACCTCACCATATAAATTACAAAGATCAATACAACTCCCTGTAAGATGGAAAACATGAACTACTTAAATTTATTCACAAAATAAGTTGTGGTAGAACTAGACATACTTAAAACAACTAGCAATAGCTAATTTGAAGCACAGAAAAAGAATGTTAAACAAACTACTTTCTTTTTTAAAAAATAGAGGCATAATTACAAGGTATGAGCTACTGAAGTCATCACAAAGTATACTTGCTCCTGAAATTCTACCACAAGTATGAAGCAGTACCACTAAAAATTACAGTTTAACTGAAAACATGACTAACATCTGCAAAAATAAATAGTATGCAACCTACAAAATCCTTCTCAGGTCCTAAAAAGTCTAAGAAATCAGTTTTACAATGTTTTGTTATCAGAGATGTAAAATTCAATTGAAAGTCTACATGGAGGTAGATAAGGTAAGCAATGAAAATACTGATGAGTGTAGTCCTGACCTTTGCCTATTAGAGAGATAAAACCATGTTATTTAATGGCATGTGTTTGGATGGCATGCTAGGTTTTGACATGATATAGTTGAAAAGTAAGAGTTGTACAGTGGGGTTCACAAAGTGGCAGAACTTACAGCGGCTGGGTGGGCTGATGTCCATGACTGACAGGGTAGGATTGTCTATGTCACTGCCCCTCCTCCTCATCCGGTTATCTTCGTACTCCGGCGTAAAGACGCTGCTCCCACTGCTGGTGCTCAGTGAGTGATCAGTGGGGCTGAAACTGACCGGTGATCGGAAGTTGTTGCCCTGAGTCCTTCTGGCTCTTGGAAAAGTTTTACGACCTTCAATGATATACACAGAACACAAAAGTTACAGTATAGAAAGATACAGCAGTGCAATGTGTGCATGCAAATACTTTATGAGTTCTACATCATCTCGTTCAAATCTGCCACAAGACAGGACACAACCATCATCAAGTTTACCAGTTTAACTTTCCACCTAGAAGAAAACAAACATTCATCACAGATGTATATAAGGACTAGATAGAATCAAAATCCTGTGTTTAAGAGATGAAAATAGGGACCAAACTCTGGAATTTTTCTGAAATATAATCAACATGCTTGAAAAACCTGGAGACCTGTAAGAGGAGGAAAGAAAATTCCATGCCTCTGTTTTTTATGCTCTATTAAATGTGCAAATAACAAATTTCTGATATTTAGGAGAACAAATACACATTTACAATGCTGTAATGCCCAAGCCAGCCTCTTCCTTCTGTAAACTAGAAAGAATTTAATTCAGAGAAAGACTGACACCTGGAATCAACAGGAAGACCACAAAAGTATTTTAAAAATCAGAACACAAGCAATGCAAAATTTGGAGATAGCTATGGCATCAGAACAAAAAAAAAGCACCAATCTGCAACATGTTAATTACAACCAGGTGACTAAAACAATTTATATTCATCTATTTACATAACACATCTATTTTTAGGATAGCACCCTTGATTAAGTTTCATCGTAGAGAACTCAGCAATAACTGAATGAGTTTTCGATTCATTAGGTACTACACTGGAGGAGGAGTTCCCAGAGGACTAAAGAAAGCAGATAACAAATCTCTGAAATAGTAGACTCAGTCTTATATACTAGTCTGGACAATTTAAATTCCAAGAAAGATATGTAAACAAGTTATTAAACTGATTTATTCATGATTGAAAAGATTAAAATGTGATAAACAAGTCATAATTGGTTTGTCTCATGTAGCTAATCCTATTTTCCCATTTCAATGGGACATTCTCACAAGCCAACTCATGAAGTGTTGCACACCATCTTACTATGCAGATTATACCCAAGACAGATGCAGAACAGTTATCAATGATTTCTTATCAAAGGGGAAGATAAACTGCTGGGGATGTCCACTTAAATTATCTTCAGTCCACTTCCATGCACTATTTTAATTCATCATGTACATATGATGGAACTTAATACACTGAAATATTGCAGATGGCATCATGTTAAGTGTGGCTGAAAATCCATTTAAAGATAAAATAAAAATTCACAGTGGTATTGGACATCAGAGATTATTCAAAAATCAACAAGATGAAATTCAGTAAGGAAGTACAATATACATACTTAGAGAAATCTAATGCAGAAACTACAAAATGTAAAGCAATTGGAAGTCATGAAGAAAATTATATAGGAAAATGTAACCAAAGACTGAAGAGCAGTCAGAATGGTGACCAGAAATTAGGGTCACTCTGCAACATATTAATGTGACTGCTACATACCAAGTTCTGCTTATATCCTGTGTTATGCATAAAGCGGCCATGAAAAAAGCCTCAGCTTGGGCAGAAGAAGAAAACTAAGGCAAGAAAATATCCCTGTGTTGCACGGATATATAAGGGCAATGACCAATTCTTCACTGTGCTAAAATGGACTAACTATTATTTGCAGGAAAAATGTCTTGGGAGACAGAGAAAGTTAAGTCATAAGATAAGCTATCTTGGAAGTTGGTAACATAAAGGAAGTGAGTATCTCTTCTGTTCAAGTCAATTTAGAGTTTACTTGAAAAGTCAGTGTGGCAGATCATTGCCTCTTTAAATCTTGCCTTAGAGCAAGGGACTGGACTTCGCAGTGCCTCAGTTTGATATTTCTGTGATTCCTGTAACATAATTCCATTTATTGCTCTGCACATTCCACACTGCAAGTGAAACCATCTGGTCTTGGGACACATTTCTTCTTAACTCTTCTCAACTAGCGCTTGACACATCCTCAAGTATGAAAATCCTTCAGCTGCTCCTCTCTACTTCCTTAGAAATTTAACACATGCTAAATTTATATCAACGGTATTACTGTCCAAACCAGTTTTGTGGACACATTAGCAGGTGCTGCCTTGCATTCCAACAATTTATTTCACCAATCAATTCTCAGTTTACATCACTGCTCTTAAATTTTATTTACTCTTTTAATCTAAGAAACTGTTAACAGGAACTCCACTGTACTAGGGATTTCTTAAAGCAAAACAAGACATTACAAACAGACATACCTACTTTATCTAGAAAAGGGTCACAAAAGTCAAAAATTTATACTGTATGATGTGTGTGGCCAAAACATTTCCACAGTTGTGCATATGAATCAGGAATTGTGTAATCCATAACTTTACCAGAGATAAAACTGTTCAGAGGTTCTATCAATCATTAGAAACTTAGCAAGTGAGTTTGGGGAAAGAATTGAAGCTTCCAATTTTATCAATGTTTTCACTTAATTTCATTAAGATCTTACAATTTTATTCACATTTTCAGATGAGAAAAACAGATTAATAAAATTGTTGCAGTGCTTACCATCATTGTAGTCTTGTTGATGATATGAAATATGGTATCTTCTGGGATAAGTCCCTCCCTTTCCAAATTTCTCAAATATTGGGATATCATACTCTACTAGAAAATAAAATTATTCATTTCAAAATCTAAAATGTGACAAAAGCACGTTAAATTAATCACTTTGGTAATACAAACTTACAATGGGTGAACATATCAGAAGATATGAAGGGTTGAAGCATCAAAGGAAAATGATGTATAGAATAAAATTACACAACTCATAAGAACTAGAAGTCCCAAAGGATCAAGAATTCAACAGCTTAAGTGGTTTGTAACCTCTTGCTTAAAAGCATGTTGGAGGACTGCAGTATGCCTGATTACTCCAGTTTTAAAAATACTTTATAGAGGAGAAACTATTCCAAAGAATACAATTTAAAGTTGTATAAATATGAAAAACTGGTGAATGAGTCAATACAGCTTGAATTACTAAAACACATTCAAAAGATCCTCTTTTAAAAGTAATTGAGGGGGAAAAGTATAAGATAAGGGAAAAAGTCCCTCAGGCATAATGGTTAGAAGATAAGTACATAAGAAGGAAGGAAACAGCCAACAGTCCACAGGAATCCGGGCTAAAATTCATGCAGTTTCATTATCCATGAATTCTCCGTACAAAACAAGGACCAGTGAGGTGACAAAATCAATTTGAGAAATAAAACCAACAGAATAATTAGAGTAGGCCCTGAAGAGTCTATGTGACTGTACATGAAATTTGCAGGTGAAATTCAGTATAGCCTTCTGTAAAGGTTTGTGATAGAGACTTCCAAAAAAGTAGCAGCTGAACTCTTTGTATTAGCTGAGAAGAAAATTAAATGCTGTAAGATACACTGAACAAAGTTTTGGTCTACTCAATTTCAAAGAATTCAGTAAAACTGGAAAATATTCAGAAGTACAGAGATGATCAAAGATACAAACTGCTCCTCCATACGAAATGTAGGCCTCTACATATTAGAAGAGCAAAGGGAGCAAAGAGGTCCATAAAAAAACCAAACCAAAAAAATCCACTGGAAAAACAGTAACAGAAAAAACCAAAAACCAAGCCTTAAAAAAAGTTACAAAGCACATACTTCTTCATAAAACACAATAAATTACACAACTTTCTGTTGCAACTTACAGCTGATGCTGAGAAAGTTTAAACAAGTTGAAATAGGGACAAGAAAAATTTGGGCAAGGAAAAAAAATCTATCAAATCACAGAAGAACATCTTGCATTTAGAGAACCCTTGAGCAATATGTGATTAGGAGTATATTCTGAGAGAGGAACATTACACACTCCTCTGCAGAAGCCCTGTACTGGTGGTGGCAGGAGGAAGGACTAGGCCAGATGGTATTTTTTCTGCTTCTTTTACACTTCAAATCATGAGAATAAATATTGAATATGGAATTAATGATTGCTGTCTATCCCATTGCTTACATACGAGAACATGGAATGGGAAAAAACTCAACAAATCCCAATAAAAAATATTGCATGATCTTACTAGAATAGTAACTGATCTTATCATGAGAATAAATATTGAATATGGAATTAATGATTGCTGTCTATCCCATTGCTTACATACCAGAACATGGAATGGGAAAAAAACCCCAACAAATCCCAATAAAAAATATTGCAAGATGATCTTACCAGAATAGTAACTGATCTTACTAGAAAAGTAACTGAATACAAATAAACTAGATTAGGACTATACAAAAGGCAAAGCAATTTCTGACATTTCCAACTCTTTTGGTACTTATCTCTGCCACCTAAATGCTACTTACACACAGTTTTAGTTTTATAGAATAGTAACTGATCTTACTAGAAAAGTAACTGAATACAAATAAACTAGATTAGGACTACACAAGAGGTAAAGTAATTTCTGACATTTCCAACTCTTCTGGTACTTATCTCTGCCACCTAAATGCTATTTACACACAGTTTTAGTTTTATTTAAAAGTGGTGCAATCTGTTAAGCACTCTAGAATTCTAAAAAGAAAAAACTCACCATCACAGATTTATCTGGATAAAGCTTCAAAATCAAAATAAAAAGAAGCCTCAAAATATGTAATAGACTGAAGAAATACAAACCCCACCATCACAGATTTATCTGGATAAAGCTTCAAAACCAAAAAAAAAGAAGCCTCAAAATATGTGATAGACTGAAGAAATACAAAACCATTTTGATTTACTGGAAACTAATTATTGTTCAACAGCAAAGTTTTGCAGTGAGACATGACTGTGAGGAAACACTTCAGAGCACTTTCAAGGTTACCCACTGCACTTGGCATCCTGAGATTTTTTTTGCACAACAACTTAGATTTGAGCCAGAGTATTGTACGAAAAGACCATTAGTGGTGATGATTAACTCATAGGCACAGCACACAGCTCTCCATCCTGTCACTTTACAGCGCTTTCAAATACAGAAGTCATGAGCACTTCAAAGTGATACTTATTTCACAGAGAAGAAAACAAAGGCTCCATGTACTTGTTTTGGCTGGGATAGAGTTAATTTTCTTTATAGTGGCACGTATGGTGCTACATTTTGGATCTGTGGCCAAAACACTGTTAATAACGTATTTTAGTTATTGCTGAAGCACATTGACAAGAATCAAGGAGCCCTTTTGCTTCATACACTGCCCTGCCAGCTGGTAGAGTGGGCTGGGAGGCACAAGAAGTTGGGAAGAAGTCCACATCTGGACAGCTGGCCCCAGGTGAGTTAAGGGCAGCTGGTAGAGTGGGCTGGGAGGCACAAGAAGTTGGGAAGGAACACATCTGGACAGCTGGCCCCAGGTGTGTCAAGGCATATCCCATATTATCTGAGGTTTTGCTCTGCAACAAAAGCTGAGAGACGGACGGACGGAAGGAAGGAAGGACATTCATAATGATGGTGTTTGTCTTCCCAGATAACCACTAGGAGTGATGAAGCCCTACTTTCCTGGAAATGGCTGAACACCTGCCTGCTGATGGGAAGTGGTGAATGAATTCATTGTTTTGTTTTTCTCATGTGTACAGCTTTTGCTGTGCTATTAAACTGCCTTTATTTTAACTCATGAGTTTTCTTACTTTTCCTCTTGGGCTCTCTCCCCAGTCTCACATGGGGAAGTAAGCAAGCAGCTGTGTGAGGCTTAGCTACCTATTGGGATTACCACCTCCAAATTAAATAAATTAACCACAGTTATACACCATCTGAGAGACAGATATTATTTACAGTCCAATTTAACTAAGTGTTGCATGCCCCTATGCACTGCAACATTTATTCTTTTTACAGAGGCAGATAGTTATACTACACCCAGCAGGGGTGGTGTCACACACAATAACCTGGAAGAAACGTGAAATTTCTTGTATTTCCACGATATCTTTCACTATGTGCATTTGGGGTGGCTTTGCTTTCTTCTACCATATTGTTTGTGTAATACAATACTTCTCCCATGTGAACATCCCTTCTAAATCCTATTATTTGCAAGAGAAGCAGTTCTGCAAAGCTAGTGTCTGCAGTGATTTTTGCCTACCTGAGAATTCCTGATGATTATCTGGATAGCTCTGTGCTCTTGGCATCCGAGACTTGGGATAGTTGTCCCTGGAAACGTAAAAATACACAGAATCGAAAAACTGCCATTAATCCAGACTCAAGCTTACTGTCCTCTTACTGATGAAAAGCCACTGCTATACAGATTGCTGCACCAGTTTACAAACGTGGAACTCGATTCTGAAACTCAATTCTAGTAGGTAACTGTAACAATTAAGGATCATCAACAATGGAAAAGCTTGCTCATTGAGCTTAATGTAGGTAAGAAAGCAATAGACTCTGTTAATGAGCAATGATATTAGTAAAAACATGAATTATCAGAAGTACAGCCACAAAGGAACACTGTTATGTTTAACACCTTTATGGCTAAACACAAAGGTTTACAGACTGGCAAAATGGGTTATACAGACTACAAAAACTCTTGAGGAAATTTAACCACAGAAATGTAGAACCTTTTAATGAGAAAAAACATTTTCTCTTCTCTCCATGAAAGTCATAGGATTAAGAGAGTGATTTTATTGAGTTATAGAATGATGAAGAATTTTTTGGTTCTTACATAATCACATTGTTTCTTACCTACAGTTGGTATGTAACTCCCAGCCACCAAAAGGAATGGATGGGATTGCCAGTCAGAGCAATCGATAACAGTTTATTTCCATAAACATACCAAAACAGTGTCCTCCTTTTTCTGGTAAGAATTTCTCTAATGGGTAACAGAAGCTAAATGGAGACACAAAACCTACATCTTTGTAGGAAATATTTAAATAGAAAAAAAAAAAAAAGGAAAAGAAACTAAGTAGACGTGACAAATAAAGTAAACAAAAACAACCAAAAAGAGTTTTGAAGAAGAAATATAAGTTGCATTAAGTTTGCTTTGTTTCCCCTTCTTCCACTCACTTCTACCCCACAAAACCATTAAACTGGGCTATTAGATAAAAGTATTTTCTATGGAGCTACATTAAATACTGTGTACGTATAACCTAGCACACTAAAACCACAAAATACTTTTCATGTCTACTGTCTTCTTGCTTGTGATATGCAGACTTATTAAACTCAAAACTGTATTTGTTAGACCAAATCTATTTGTGTCCTCAAACCACATATTCTGAAATGAAACAGTACTACTACTGAATAATACAGCTCTGATTAACTGCCACAGGCAGTGACCTCCAACACTTCACCTTTCTACCAGTTAAATAAAATATTTTATTAGCAGTTTTATTAGTTTTGCAGTTTGAAACAAACAAAGAACAAATCTACACATTAAACCCAAGGTTATTTGCCTGACCACCATAAACCAAACAGGAATATGCTCTACTTGACTTGGCTGGTGGACAGTGACCCCCTCAAAACACAGAGGTCTCCTCAGAGGTCAAGCCAAAAAGACCCCCCACAACACACACTGCCTCTTGCTGACTGGTGGGCTTTAACAAAGAAAAATCAGTTGGAAGTTTGCAACAGGAACAAGGGGAGAGGAACAAACAGCAATTGCAAAGGAAAGGATGGGATTGACTGCTGAAGCCAGAAAATTATTCTACCCTCCTTCTTGAATTGGGTACCCCCTGCTTTGGAAAAGGAAAGCCTACTTCATATGGCAGTGCCTAAGAACTGTAAACTTAATGGAGTGGCTCACTGCCAGCATATATATACTATCCATGTGAAAGACCTAGCAACATTTAGTAAAAAAATTCAGTACATTTTTGTAGGAGCTTAAATCTAAATTTTTGTGGTTTAAATACAAATTATTGAAAAAAAAAGTGCTACAGTATTTTCCATATGTTAGTAAGCAATTAAATTTCAATAAGCTTTTATAAACATTCTATAACTTACAAAAGAATTTCTGGAAGAAGCACTGTCACTTGAGAGGAGTTGTATTTTACAACTGAGACATTATGCAATCTAATATAGATAAATAATTAAATAATGAATGTAAATAATTTTTACCCATCTAACGGGCTGTCAAGCGAGGGACAACTTCCTGAGCCAGAGTTTTCAGGACTGCTCAAAGACAATGGATCCAGCATCTAATAAATAATAAACAGAGGAAGATCAACAAGTTCAAGGGGTTCTTTTGTCAATTTTTTTCCCTACATAGTTAAGGGGTTTGCTATAAGACAGCTAATAAGAAACAAATCCAAATCAGATATGAACTGGTAAAAACAGCGTGGAAAGCTCAGCTGTTGCCTTAAAATGAGCTCCTTCCTAAAATGAAGCTTGTTTTGGTATGTTGTATAACATCTATTCTTTTCCATGAATTGGACAACAGTCTTCTGCTGTAAATTAAGCAGTTATCCCTCCAATTTTTATGGTCTGTGTTGCATCTTAAAGGACCTGGGCACCTACTTTGCCACACACCAATCAAGGACTTATTAAAGAAACAGTGTCCTGAAAGTGAGTTTGCACTCCACAAACTCAAACACTTAAATGAACTCTGTACTGGGGAGGACAACATTTATCACAGGTTCAGCATTTTTATTCCTCTTGTCTCATGCTGAACAATACTGATTACCTCTCTAAGCCAATGCACTATGGCCCAACTGGCAGCCCATGGGTTTCATCCAATCCCTCATCTCTTACAGGAAGTGTGAGGTCTGCTGTCAGAGTGCCAATAGCTGTGCTCAGGCAGATCAACAGCAGAGCAGAGGAAAACCCTCCACTTCCAAATTCCCTTCTTGTCTGTTGGGCAGGCTGTGACAGATAAAGGCAGCATGGCCAACACTTGCCAAGGTGATGTGGCAATGTAGGTGGGGGGGAGCAAACAGAATTTGTGAGCCTACCACCCCAGAATGGCCCTTGAGGCTGCTTAGGTTGAACTAAACTGGCCTCTTATCAAAGTAAAATTCATTAATTTAAACCTGCTGACAGCTCACACAGCAATAAATACATGACAGGTTATTTATTTCTGGAATACTTAGATGTGAATGGACATCCCAGGCTTCAGGGATCATCTGTCTGTCTGACCAGCCAGTGACCAGAAATTACTTTGCCCACACCAAAAGTAACTATTTCACTGGAATGAATCTAGACCTGGGCTGGATCTGACCACAGGGCTATGATAATGAATAGCCCTGGTCTGGAAAGTAGGAGATTCAGTCCCTATTCTCAGCTCAGTCATTAAAATTGTGCAACAAATTGCACTATCCCCTTGCCTTTATTTTATCATCTGTCTCTCATTTAGTCAGCTCATAAAAACCGTTGCCTCTTGCCATTTGTAAATACACTGCCAATGTCAACAACAACTTGAACTGATTTGTGTATGCAGAATTATTTTTCTTTCCTCCTTGAAACATCTCTTTCTCCAGTGCCAATTCTGTGAGCAGCTACATTCCTTCTCCTTTTCTTGCTGTTTTGAAGGGCAATTTTTATATTCACAGAGTAGGATTTTTATTTTGCTAAGTGTGAAGATATACTACATTAATGCAGGCAAGACGAAAAAAAAACCCATATATTTGTGATCTTTACACACCAAAAAGGTGAATTTGTGAAGTCTTTCACAGCTTATTTATGCCAGGCCTACAGCCATCCCCTTGCCCCTACCCCAACACAGTACCTACCACACAGAATCACTGACTATTATGAGTTGGAAAGAACCCACAAGGGTCATTGATCCCGACTCTTAAGTATCAACAGAGTACAAATAATTCTGACAGATCCAAACTCTTTCTTAAAATTTCCTTTTAATTACCTTGAAAAGTTGTAAAGCTGGTCTTGCTTACATATCATTCTCGGTAAAATAAAGGGGCTTGTGCTTTCTAATGTTTTCTAATGTTTTCCCCTGGCATCTCTGCTGTTATTTGTATCTGTAACTTTCTCACTCAACTATCATGGCAATTAAAAATATTATCTTTCTCCTTGTAACAGCATATTTTAAAAATTGAAGAGACAGAGGAAAAAAAACCAGGTTCTGCAAGACTAAACAGCACAATTACTTCGACCTTATGTCACCAATCAAGTTTTACAGAGTTGTCATCAATTTTTTTGCTGTTTCTTCTAATAATTCCATATCCTGCTTGAACAGCAGTATTTCATAAAGAAACTTAACAAAAACTTTAATTTCAATAATCACAGACGTACCTGGTCCATACTTTCTGGAATGAATTCACCCTCACTGTTGATACTGGTGAAGGATCCATTTCGAGCCACCTGATGCAGCTCATCTGGAATGTATCCTGGGGGAGGTGAACTCCTATCACGAGTATTTGAACCTTTTGAAAGAAAAGGGTGGTCAGAGTCTCTCCACTAACCCAGAATTCAAGGCTTTATTGAAATGTTTCACAGGCACTGAGCCTGCCTGGATCACTACTAGCTTTAGGAATCCCCCAAACACCTGTGCAATACAAGACTTAAGTATAGCATTTAAAATCTGCAATCCAGAAATTATGAAAAATTAGGGGCAGAGTTGCTTCGATGACATTAAAGAGAATTTTCATTATACAGAAACATAATTTGTCCACATATCTAGCTGAGTAAATTCCTTCTTTTGACCAAAATCAAAACCCTTCTACCCAGGTCAACTAATCCTTTGCAACTCTTAAAATTTCAGTTTGTTGAATATTAAGTCTCTAAGAACAGAAATACATATATTCATGATAAATGTATAATAATTTATTACGTTGTCTGGAAAATTATTAATTAAGCTCTCTAGTTTCATAATTAAATTTGGAAGTTAACATCACCCAACTTTAAAACATGAATAAGTAAAGAGGTTATATCAATCCCAAAATCAGTATGTTAAACAAATGCTCACATAGTAAAAAATTATGGAGGTCATAAAATGAGCAAGGAAACACATTGTCATATAACCAGCTTTTTCAGTAGCTCATTCCTGTATTAGAAAATAAAGGGGAGTACTAACATCAGCTTTTTAAGTTACCCTGAAATAACTCTTTATACACTAAATTAGTTGTGGGTTTTTTTTCAGGCAATTTTCGGTATTATATATATTTAAAAACCCTTTTGTCCTAATATTCAAAATCAACTCTCCCAAATGCAAATTCTATAGTACTCACTGATGAGTAGAAGAGACAGTTTGTGTTGGGAGCAAAATTTTCATGAATAGTAAAAGACAAAAGACATTTTTACAATTAAAAAATTGTAAATTTTTTAATTAAAGTTATTGAAATGTGCAACTTACCTATTACAGACAGTCGCCTTTTTCTGTCTGCCACACCAAACACTATATTATCTAAATCTTCCAGTGAGGGCAAGGGTTCCACGTTATTTACACTGGGTGACTGAAAATGCATAAGTATTACAACCTGCAGTTATACTTTACATTCTTGATAATGAAAATAATTTGTGAACTTTATAGGCTTTCTGTAGTTCATTTCATTTTTTAAGCACTCAAAAAAGCAGCTTGCCAATTTACATCACAATTCATCTATTTTAGTAGCTCATTTGTAGCCTTTAAAATTAATTTTCAATATGTGCCAGTATATCAATGCCGTGAATATCAATGCCATGATTTGTTAGATAATACCAAAATATCTCAGCATTTAGTCTATAGACCACTAGTCTTTGCTACAACAAATACTGAACTTCTTACATATGATTTAAAGAACAATTTCAAATTATTACCATTACTTAAATTCTGAATGCTTTTTTTTTATCATTCTACTAAGGTTCACTTTTCTACCACTATAGGGTAGGCAAACAAAAAGACAGGAACAGGATCTAGGAAAGACTTAAAATTGAGTCAGCACAAAATGCTAATGGATGCTTAAAGTGAAATGAAGAAGCAATCAGTATTACATTCAATTGGGGAAATGCCATCTTCAAGAAAAGATACAAATTCTATTTCATTATGAAAACTGAGGAAAAGGCATTTAGCATGTCTGCTCATACCTGTGTATTTCCATGTATTACAAGCAGTATCTTGAGACTCTTCATATGTACACTACGGTCAAGTAGTTCAACTGCTTTGTCCAGGTCATCCTGTGTGGTTAATGGAATTACAAGCTACAAAACAAGGGGAAGGGAGAAAAAAGTCTTAAACAGCACACAAGAAAAAAATGAGGAATTCAAATGCAGAGAAACAGAGTGTTTCCTTTCATAGAAAACAACTTGAAAATAAACCTTATTAAATGATCCCTTAAGTACTAAAAATTCAACCTTAACTCTTCCTTCAGATTCCTCTACTATCAGAACAAGTCTTCACAAGAAGCAACCACTTTGCATATATAGAACTTAAATATCCAAAAGTTTCAGCAAAATGGGTACAATTGGGTCAATGCCTAAATTAACACAAGTCTGTAAGATAAACCTAAGTCCTATTTCATAGAGTATAAAGCAGATTTTTGTATCTCAGCTGTTACAAATACACTTGTTTAAAGTTGCATGACTAACAGGATTTCTCCACTGAACAACAGCATTTGCTAAGGAAGATGTGATCCATGTGCAACAACTCTAGTCCTCACTAGAATCTTACTTGTATCTAATTAAATAGAATTAGCTTGGCATACATATATCTTTAGAACAGAAAATTATGCCATTAATGTGCAGTTGAAATCTGAATTCTATTACAACGAAAATTTGGCTCATCTTTCAGGAGTGTAAATTACAGCTTCTGCTTGTAACAAAGGAAAAACAGAATACAGATTTTCAAATCTATTCTACTTGTAAACAGCCTCAGTCAATGATGCTTAAATACAGTACTTTTATACAAAAAGAGATGGGATTGAGGAGGAAGATCTTGATAAAATGAAGAGTATGCTATTTGTTAAATTGCACTTTTAATACTAGTGACACATTATTACCATCACATTTCTGAAAGGTGATGGGATGATTTGCCAACTAGTGCAGAAGGTAAGAAGCAGAAAACCTACTCAAATGCCTAAAAATCTACTAATGGAAGGAGCTGAGGCTAAAGCATTATGAAGGGCCATTTCACCTGACCTTCCAAATATCCAAAAACCTTCTGCTGGAATTCTTCATTTTGAGGATCAGTTTCACAGAAGTGTCTGGTAATGTAATGAGTAACTAACGGAGAGCAATCACTGGCATTTTCTTCTGCAAAGATGCAGTGTAGATACAGCAGTTACATTGTGCTTAACCAAGCAGATGAATAAGCCTTCATGCACTTTGCTGACTCAAGGCAAAAGCCAGATGTAACCCTAAGAATGGATCCTGCATCTGTAAATACATTTGCTATTAATAATTCTATCCCTACTTCTAAAGGAAAGCCAGAAGTAATATTGATCAGGCCTAAGTGGCTTGACAGTGCTGGCCCTGTTACCAAGAAATCTTTGGCAACCAGACATTTTAGAGGAGCAACAGTTAAGCGTAGTTCTCCAAACTACACGTTACCTGAATGCAGCATTCTAGTTATCTTGTAAGATTAATCCTTAAAGAAAATTACCTACAGGAAAGGATAAAAGCTATTTCAAATTTACAAACATGCCAAAGCTCAAAGAGGTAAAGAATTTCCCAAGATCACACAACTGGACTGTGGAAGCTCAGGAAGATAATTTATCCATTCCTCAACAAGTCGGAGGCATCATTATGATATAACACTACTCATGAAACATTTCATGCATTTCCTGCCTATCCTAATTCAGACAAGACTTACAAGTTTGAGAAAACACACATACACACATTAGATATCTGGGGTTTAGTCACAGGAGTAAGTTTGGTCACAGAAGTGGTTCCCACTTCTTGCAAGAGCAAATTTCAGCCTTAAAATGATCAATGGCCAAGGCAAGAATTTTGAGGACACAGCATATTACCTCATTATTGCTGTAATGTAAATCCATAGTCTGTCCAAAAGCAACTTTTGCTTTAGCTGCAAGATCTTCAAGTTTAACAGGCCTTGGTAATTGCAGGATCCTGAAACACAATTTAAGTTATAAGGAATTTCTGTCCATTACTTATGGAAATGTGGCAAATCATTACTTAAGAACTATCTCAGAACTAAATTTACTACTAAAAAGACTGTAAGAGGCTATACTTTATTCCCTGTCCTCCATATTTTGAGACTTTCAAAAAAGAAAGAAAAGCAATGAAAAATCCAAAAGGGATAATCAGATACAGAATTAGATTTCACTGTAACTATTTTACTTGCTTAATGCTTTGCAAGCCTCCATTTCTGAGGGAAATTCTTACAAACTTCTACATTTTTCTACTTTAGAAAGCTAAGACAATGGAGTACCATAGGCTGACAAGCATAAGCATCAGAAAGTAATTACTCCTGTAGTCCCCATTTTTTGGAAATCCGAAAGACTATCTTACCTGAGGAAGGTAACTAAATTTCACCATCTTTACCATAATGAACTACACACTCAAACTGCCCAGTCCATCACTAACTGTGCTTCAAGTGTGCTCCTGTAAGAATGGTGCAGTTGTAGGTCAACAACTTAAGATTTTCTTTTAACTCAATGTCCCATCAAACCAATTAGCCCAAACTGTGTATAACTAACCTTTTACTATAGAAAACCATTTCATTTTTGAGATACAAGACCATTAAACAAAAAAGAGCTTTTAAAAGGCACTAAACTACTAAGGTACACTCAATTCACATTAAATAAATAAAGTGCACTCAAGTTCTGTGAAGTATAAAAGTTAGCAAAGGGTCCCTTCCATCAGTAGTTCAGTTAGTAGTGTGGAGGTTTGGGGGACAATTTTTCTCACTGAAATGAGGCTAGAAACAAGGCCACTTCAAATTAAAAATTATTTTAAAAAATGAAATATTTTTTAAAAGATTCTAAAAACCCAAACAAATCAACCCCCCAAAAAACCCAACAAACACCAATTCTCACTATAGTTAATAATTTGGGCAGCAAGCCTGCAACTCTATCACACTACATGCTCCTTGGAACAAAGTGTCACATTCACCACTGAAAGCAAGTCTGGAATCACTTCTCTTTTTCACTTCCCATCTTAAAAACTAATGAGAAAGCCATTGCACAATTTTTTTTCCCTGCATGATTTCTTCCCTTGATCACTAGAGCTACATGCCGGGGCAAACCGAAGTGCTGCAACTCATGCTGAGCAATGAGCCCAGGCTGTCCAGAACACCTGGGCAAGCAGGCTGAAGTCACCTGGGACAGCTCATAATGGAGCTAGGCTCATGAGTATAAAAACCTGGAAAAGGTATCTTTCCATGCACTTACTCTGTGCTTGTATTAATATTGAACTGGTTAGCTTAGCCAATGTGAAAGTGAAATATGATGATCTGCAAAATGCACCATCTGTGCAGACTGGCAGCATGTAAACATTTCTCTGTTTTGAAATTCATGTTTCCTCTTACTTCACTAGAAATTGTTAGGTAGATGAGACCTCAATTCTCAAAACCTTCAAAAACACATATTCCCTCCAAATTATATAGGGAACTCAACCATTACTGATGCACTTTTTCATGTGATGTTCAGAGAGTCACATTAAAGGCTACCCGGAACTAGTATAAGGTTTATTGAAGCTAAGTTTTAAAAAATAATTTAATATTTCTCTTGAGAAATAGCATGCCCAGGATATTACTTCCTTTTCTTAGTAAGTATTTTCAAAAATCTTATTCTACCATAATTTCTCTGTAAGTAGAATGAAATTTGATATTTTCAGAAAGAGACAGGCGAAATGAATTGTCAACAAACCAGTTCTGCATGGAATTATTCATCCAATTCTGTAAAAGCTTTTGAGCAGCCACCAGAGAAGAGATCATACAGAGACAGATGTTTGTATACTTTAAGCAGGTGCATCATCCACCTCTCTCATAAACAAAATGTAAATAAATTTTAACTGATTAAATGAAAACAATCTGAGTCTAATAAATTTTCCTCTTACTGTTGTTAGACTGGCACCCCTAAAGTACAATCCGACCTCCTCCTCTGGGTATTACAGTAACAATAAATTATCACACATTTATCACACAATGAAGAACGAAGAAAAATGCATTTTCTGGTCTACTCAAACTGAGATCTATTTTAATTACTTAAGTAATTATTCAAGGCTACAAAGATCTATCTGAAGGGTAACCAAATGAAGGATACTACATTGGACATAGTTACAATATGATATTTAGGTGTTTATGCATATTTAGAACCCACATTTTAAACAGTTAATTCTCTTTAAATTGTGATCATAAAAAAATTAAATTTTAAGCTCAAACAAAAAAACCTTAGAGATCTCAAACACTTCAAACCAATAATTTGAAACTTTATGACAGGATCATAACCAAACTCTAAACAAAGAGACAATACTGTTTCTTTACCTTTTTTCACCTCGATGTTCAAATTTGACTCTAACATCATTCTGTAAGAAAAGAGATAAAGGAACCACAATTAGTTTGTTATTACCTCTTTTGACGAAGCTCACGAACTCCCATTTAATACTCCTACACTAGAACTAAATTCCATATTAATTTTCTGTCCTTTACAATATATCAAGTATTTTAATAAGCCACATCTGCTGAGGTATGTGATAGTGGCTTAAAGAGTCATAAAACAGAAAGTGTTAAAAACAACTTGGAGGGTTAAAATACAAAAACTTATTCTGCAGTGCAATGGATGCTTTGCACTGTAAATAAACATATTATTTTCTATCAATATATGTTAATATTATAACAGATTTATGACTTTAAATTTAACGTGGAACTGGTTACCAAAGAATTCCGTAACCTGAATAGGCAGATGGATTTAGCTACCAATAACATGTTTGTAAGTACACTTTGCAGCTGAGTGTCCCAGGCCTAAGAAACATATCTTGTTTCATAAGCATTACCATAGAAACCCACACATACAATTAAGTCAGCAGTCATGCAATACATATCCCAATAACCATCTCTGTATATACTAAGAATTACATGGAAATAACATTGCTTTGCAACATCATAAAGACTCAACCTGTATTAGCAACTATTGCAGGAAAAACAATAATGCATTCAACCACAAAGTTTATCCAAGCAACTATGTTTCGTCTTCCAAAAGAACTGATTTTCAAATGATTACTTTCAAAATCCACAAACTGAAACAGTGATAAACATTTCTTCTAACTTTCTAAACACTGATTACACTCAAATAATTTTGGATCATATGTGGATGTTACCACAGTGTCTAAATCACAGCTTAGATGCGAGTTTCATGACAGTAACAAAACACCACTGTGTTACACTCTGAACTCTCACAACTTCTAAAGCACAGAATGAAAATTATGTAGACATTTGGTTTTGACAGTTTAAGAGCCAAATATATCGAAAAAATTTCATTTTTAAAAGGTTAAAATAAGTATAAACTGAAGTTTATTGAACTGTAAATTAAGGATCAAATCAAATAAACATACAGTTAACTCAATTTAGGTAGAAGTCTACATCCTATCCTAACCTCTCCATATAGTAGTTCAAACCTATCAATTAAGTATTTACTACTTTTTTATTTATGTTCAGTATCTATGGAAAAAAATGCAGCTGGAAAGAACTCTTATTTCCAGCTGCATGAACGAGAAATTGAGGCAAAAGATGCAGTGAAAGAGTTTAAGCATATTTCTGCTGCTGTACTGACATTCTTTCTTGGTATGATATACGTGACAATTGGGTAATCTTCTAAACCTATAAAATGATTCCTTGGTATTTTAAAATAGTATAGTTCCAATATAATAATAGCAACAAATATAAAATCACTTTACATATGATGTAAATACCTCTATAATCTTCAATTTATTTATTGAAGCACACACTATGATCTGCTCTGAAATGCCACCATTTCATTTTGCTGCTAATATAAGAATATGAAGAAAGAAAATGGCAGCACACGTGGGAGACTAATAGCTCATTCTGGTATGCTCACTGGTCTGGCAAGAAAAATAATTACAGAAGACACAGCAGGACATTCCATGTTCAGTAATATTGAAGATTACCTGTTTTTTAGGAGAAGATGACTTTGGTTTTCCTGTTTCTTGCTGGGGCAATACAGGACGACTGGCCTTATGAAGCACAGCCAAATCCTGCATGATTGAATTCAAAGCTTGCTGCTCATCTGCTCAAAGAAAAAGACCAGACAAGTGTAAAAGACTGTTACTTTTGAAGGGCATTACTGTCTCATTTCACAATTAGGTAGGCATTAGTCTAAAATCTAAGAGTACACTTCAATACATAATTGCTAAATTAAAAAAAATTGTTGCCACATTGTTAACATTTTTATTTTATTTATCATTAACAGTGCTTAAGGAAATAGCTTAATCAGTAACCCAATTCAATAACAGGTTTGATAAAACTGAAGTCATAACAATGATTAAACTTTACACACTGCAGGCTGTATTAGTAAGAGAAAGGGGATGCAGGAGAAAGCCTTGTCTACTTCAATTCAAACAATAGCCATAGATGAGACGTTTACTAGAGATCATACTTCCCGCTCCTTTCCATAAAATAAAGAATAAAAAGCAAGTTCTTTTGAACTATTTCTCCTCTGTCCTGAACAGGTATGATCGTGTCCATGAGAGGCATACACAAACTGCCACATGAACACCACAACTACCTGAGCATCTGCTTTTGAACTATTTCTCCTCTGTCCTGAACAGGTATGATCGTGTCCATGAGAGGAATACACATGAACACCACAACTGCCTGAGCATCTCCTGATAGCCCACAGAGCATTACAGCAACCCAAAACAAAGACCTCACCACAACAAAAAAACAATAAACAAACCAAAAATAAAATGCCACAGAACTTTTCCAGGACTGAAAATACAGAGGACTTTAGGGCTTAAAGGAAGAATTCACATGGAGAATCAGAAGCTTTGAACCCAGGGGATAACTTAGGGGCAGGAATGCTACTTAAGTTAGGTTTCAAGTTGACAAAAATCCTAAATCCTGACAATCTGCTGCAGCTGTGATGTCCTGATGTCATGTTAGACAAAATCTGCCCTAGAACTGGGATGTTCCTTTAGACAGGAAAGCACTTAGGAGCTCAGAAGCCTGTACATCCATCACTAAGAGTAATTTACTTCTAATATTTCATATTAATTCCTTGCTACAGCAATGGTACTGCACTCAGCATGTATCTAGAACAGTGGACAACAAAATTTATCTCCAGAGGTGCTGACAGTGTGCTTTCATGCTCCTTCACAATGGATATGGCTTGTTGAAGAATACATTGCTAAAAGCTGTGATTTACAAAGAACTGCATTTCTCAAACATGGACCTGAGAAAAGCTCAGCATTAAAAGCAGCAAGCAAGCATCCCATGTATTCAACAATGAGAATTCCTTCACATTCTACTAAAATAAAACTAAATATATTTATCATATAAGGAAATTTAAGTTTTTAAATTTAATAGATTCCTTATAGAACAGAAAGCTGGTCTGAAAATTAGTAACTTTGATCATCACTCATGCTGCTCGTGCTGTCACTATTTTATTGTGTTATGGCCTATTCTAGTGCTCAGCAATGCAAAAAGTAAAATAATGCTTTAGCAGTTGGTTGGAGTTTCCAGTAGTTACTAGATTGGATATTTTATACAAAAGAAACCAAAGTGCTGTGGTAAAGCATCTAAAGTTACTAAATATCCAATATGACTCAACAATAACTTCTCTCACACAAAATGTCAGAGAATATGAGAAATCTGAAGAGTGCTGTATTCCTAGATTGAGCAACTTGATTATTAAGCATAAGATTAGAAAAATTGGCAAAACATTAAAAGATAAAAGCAATACAAAAATGTGTGTGGCTTGTTGGTTTGTTGGGATTTTTTGGAGAGAACTCAGAAATGATTACAACATGGTGAACTCACTAAAAACATATAACTTGAAAAACTGACATACAATTAAAAGTAATACAAATGTGCCACAGAAGTGGCTTAGCACTGCAATGACACAAGGCAGTAAGATAACTCTTGTATGTAGATTTTGTGGTTTGAGTTTGATTCTTTCTAACACGCATCACCACTCAGAGCACAGTAAGTATTATTCAATACTCTAATACCATGAATCTCAGTTTCCTAAACTTGAAACTCTAAGAACAGCTGAAGACAAACAACTCTTGTTTCTCATGCAAGAACTGTGAACACGAAGCTGAATTTGATGTTGTGTTTATGTCTGTTTTGCTCGCCTTCAGCAATGTGGTTTTATAATAAAAAAAAAGAGGGAAAAGTACTACATAATAAGGAAGGGGGAAAAAACCAACCAACCAACAAAACCCAAAAAAACCACAAAAGGAATATTTTCAACACTAGTGAAGCTGCTGAACACTGCCTTTCACATATAAATGTTACATTATGTTAAACAGCCAAAGCACGTTTCCCAGGATTGTAGTAAATTTTTATGTAAGTTACACAGAAGACTTACCCATTATGGCAGTGAGTCTGAAAACTCGAACTTCAGGGAAATGGTTGCTTCATTAGCATTATTTTATTTCCTAAAATGTAAAAAAACCCCCCACAATTACTAAAGTTGTCAAAGCCATGTAAAGCAGTCAACTTTTCATTGTTTATAGGCAGTTTTTCTAAGATTCTACATAGCAAACACACAGATAAACTACAAATAAGCTTGCATAGGACACACATATTATGTGTGGAGAAAACAGCTTTTGCATCCCTGAGAGTCCAAAAAGCAGAACATATATTATTTCCTATGCTATGTTTTTTGTATCAGCAGTTGCCTTGGACAATCTTCCAAAAACTTATTCACTTAAAATGCTTGTGAAACATCTTTTAAAATCAGTATTTGACCCAACTGTCTTAAAATGAGAGCTAATGTAATTTTCATTAAAATGTCTGTTTTAATTAGCTGTCTTAATACATTAAACATAACAATGTATTTCAAGATTTTAGATTAAGCACTTCTGTAATATTTCTTTGTAAGCATTTCAAAGAAATACAGTAGTTCTGTGAAGCATTTTAAATCTTCTACCACACCTGAAGAAAACAAAACCAACTTATATCTCCAAACAAAAACACCCCAGATGTTCTTCCTCAACCCAGCAGGAGAAAAAAACCAAACTTGGAAGCTGAAGATATTTGAGCTCAAGGGCTCACATAGGGCTAAAGAAAAATCATCTCCTCCAAGTTCCTCCAGCTACAACAACTCATTCTTTAGTATTAATCTGTGATATGTCTCACTAGAACATAAGCTAATAAGTGAGTATCCATTTATTTTCTCCTCCACCTCCTTATTCCTTAAAAGAAAACCCAACTTAAGAAAATTTAATTTTTCTGAATAACTTATGTTTCTTATTTTATCGCCCCTTTTAACCAAAATTCTCAGTTCAAATATGAAGTATAATCAGTCACCTTAACAACCTTTGTGTTAGCATTTAACGTTACTTTAAAAATAAGCTAACATTAAAATTTGAATCAGAAACATGATTCAGACCCAATTTTATTAAAACCTTTAGGAATTTGCCTTGTGAAATTGAAAAAGACTTCTCTTTTTAACTGATCATTTTCACAACGGGTTATAACAACAGGGTGGTTGTGGAGAGTGACTAAAAATAAGGTAACAAAAATCAACACTTTTCAAACAAGTCTATATAAATTCAGTAAAAAGCTAAAAAAGCACACCCTAATCCCTGTCTGCAAAGTAGCATTAGTATAGCACACACACAAGAGTAGACTACAATACAAAACAAAAAAAAAGGAAGCAAAACCAAAAAATTGAAAGTCGGAGAAAGACTCAGGAGAAGCAAAGGCTGCAAACACAAAGAGCAGATGCAAAGGTAGAATAAAATTATGTCAAGGTCTTGCAGAGAGACACAAGCAGCCTGAGTTTGAATGTAATTAAAGAAGGGATGACAGAGTGAATTTCAAGAAGGTGTTTGCTACACTCTTATCACATCATCAAAGACGAATATCCTAGCAACAGCATTTTGTATATAAGGGTGGAGAGATGCTGATTCATATTCATGATTCACTTCCCACCAGCCACCTTCCAGAGTCTGGAAGTCCTTCAGAATGTGAGAAGCTAAAAACAATTTCCAAGAATCACCTGGATACTTTCTTTCTTCAGTGGTTTTGTCAATGCAAATGAAACAAAGCCTGAGGACAATTAAGCCATGCAGATGATGCAGCTGTTTCAGACACCCTGAGCTAATTGCCCATTCTCACACACTTCTGTAACAACCAGACACGGTGCCTCTCAGTTACTAAATCAAGAACAAAAAAAAAAACAACCCGTGAAGCAAGCAATCTAGCTCAGCCTGATTTAGTAAGGAATTCAGACTTACACAGGAAGACTTTACCTACATAGAAAGGTGCTTTACACTTTCAGAGTCCAAACCTGTTGCAGTAGTGGGGCAAGAATTTCAAGGATATCAATTCCCTCCACTAAATTTTCACTAAAACAAATGAGTGCAAAGATAAATGGTTTCCAACCCCTACACCAAAGCAAAATGACATAATGTGAACTCAAAATACGAAAGATGCACTGTAATTATTTCAACCACAGGTGAAGATTAAATCTGACTTACACTGTACTAGCCATGAGCAAGTTAAACTAAGACAATACAAAAGAAAAAAAAATCTGCTTGCACTGCTATTCAGAGACACACTTGTCTGTAACACATCAAGCAAAAAGAGCCAAGTAAAAATTAAGAGGGAGCATTCACAGGTGTTTTTCAGACTGCAGAATGGACAATCAGCATATCTAGTAAGACTATAAAATTTTATTTCATAGCAAGAAGAATGAGCCAGATAAAACGGTTTCACTCAAAAAATGTTATTTTTAAACAATCAAATGCTTGGTCTCACACAACCAACCTCCTATAAATCACAGCAAGCAAGGCTGACAAAATCTCCAGTGATCACTAGTCAAATATACCTACTTAACCTTTCACCAAAATAACGTGCAGCACTGCTTGTTAAAGTTTTTATTTTAAAAAAATAAACATACTATCCGTGAACAAGACAAAGAGTAATAGCTAAATCTGAACTTCTGTAGCATTTTTTGTAACTCAAAGCAACTGTTGGCATAAATAACAATAATGACAGTACCTAGTGTGGTGAGCATAGAAGTCAGTATTGTTACAAGGCATTAGAAGATATCTAAAAGAAGGTAACTCCACAGAAATGAACATAAAGAAGAGGATTGCATATGGACATACACACAAATGAACACTGGACAAAGAGCCAGCCTTTTCAAAGAATATGAAAGCAGCAGCAGTAGCACAAAATCACGAATGACAGGAAAAAAAGGGAATTGAAGAACAGTAATGAGAAAAAGCTGAACAGTAACACATCAGATGTGAGATCAGCTTTAGAAAAACTTGGATCTTTAACATATTGTAATAATACATTCAAAAGGTATTCACAAGGAAAGCAGATAAGGGAGAAAAAAGATTAATCCAAATCACAAGCCAATGATACATTGCTAAATTAAGGTAACATTTGGAAAACAAAATCATAGTAATAAATGCAAAACACAGCAAATGCCTCAATTTCAAGGTTTACTGCCAAGCAAAATATGTCTTCTTGAAATAATTAGTTAACAGAATTAGTTAACAGAATAATTGAAAGATTAGTTAACAGAACTAACTGCAGCAATCACACTACTTAGGCTTTTTCAACATATCTGCCTAAATATTACATGATATTCTAGTTATTTGCTTTCAAAACTCAATTAACAGGAAACCCAGAGGATGGACTAAAATAAAAGAAATCCATATTCCTACTTAGCAGAAAACTCCAATGAACATGATTCCCACTGCAGGCCCCTGGAGACCAACAATGATCAGGCAGGCACAATGAAATAGACAAGTTATGGCATAAGGAAATTACCTGAATCATGTCTGAAAACAGTTGCAGTCCAGCAAAATGCATTTCAATACCATTAAGTGTTTTAAATACATATAATAATTTACTGTGGTTACTCTCCATTAATTATTAATTAAAAATAATACTAAACATTTTTAAACTGAGATTAACTGCATTTATGGTACTAAAACTGACAGGACTGCTTTCTGAATTTCTATACTCCCTGCAACCATGAGGGCACCACCCACAATTAGAAGCTGTATTTCATGCAAGTCTAAATATTGTGGTTTATTACATTTACTTAGTGATGTTTTTGCATTGAATGCATTTTGACATACTGACAATCATTTAGGCAACTGGAAAAAAAGTTGAAGCCGCAAGACTGGACAGTCTTAGCAAGAAACAATTGAGAAGAATTATTAAACCACAATGTAATTATCTAACAGAGGTGCAATACACATTAAAGAGGCACAGTGAAATCCTTGTGTGTATAAAAATGCAGTGAATGCAGAAGCCATCTTGCTTCTGTACACAACCTGCAGGCACAGTGCTCTGTGCAGACTGCACGTGTGGGATGGCTGAAGCATCAGAATCTTTGTGCTGGCACAGAGATATCAGGTATCTACAATGAGCAGACTTGTGATTTCTTACACTGAAGACTTTTAAAATCTTCCTGGCAAGCAAAAAAAAAAAAGTGAATTTGTGTCTCACTGAGCCCACAGCAGCATGCAGACTTACCTCATCTATACAGCTACAGACATGCTCTGGTATTTGTTTATTTTAAGAAAAGAATGGTTACTAGCTGTACTCCTTTTTGAGTTCAATTTAATTCACAGACAAACAAAAAGGTAACAAAAATCCCCAAACCAATAAAACAGACCACACTTGCATAAAAATTGGTATCTATGGATGGTGCCCTCCCAGTTCCAGGAAGACTAAAACCTCAAAAATCAGTGCTGTCATTTCTAGCACCTTAAATGCAGCTTTCACTCAAATTACCTCAGGAACCAGATCTCAGAATTAACTAAAGGATCCAATGTGCCCAGTAACAACAGCAAAATTTCATTCAGATTAAATCTTTAGTTCCTGCTGTTCAATAAACTGTAATTTGACAGAGTCATGTAACATTTATCAGCTTGATGAACTATGATCTTGGCTTGAAAAACTTACAATGTGCTGGAAGGTTTGAGAATGTAAGGAAAGAGTTTTTAAAGACTGTTCTCAGAAAAATGGAAAGCAGCAGTTCAAGATGAGTTTATACCAAAATTAGGCTTTTGAGATAAATATCTTAACACTTACAGCAATATTCACAAAGAATAACCATAGTCTACGAAAGCTAATCTCTCTACACTTCCTTTACAGTTGACAGGGAGAGATAAGCATATTTAGAGAGTTTCAAGACACTTAAAAGCAAGTTTCCTGCTTTGAATGAACCTCTTCTTTCCAAGTACTATCAAGAGCCTCTATTACCTAACCCTTCATAGGCCTACTCCATTTCAAGTACACCAAAAAGATAAGACTCTAATTGGCCTCAAACAGAAAAACATCTACCTTCTTCAAGATCTCTTTCCTCACATAATTCGCATTTTACAGAACTTCTCTATTTCCTGTATCTGTCATTGCCTCAGCAGCAGCCAAAGCACTTGACAGCTCATTTCTCAACCTAACTGAAAAATTACTTGCCTGATACATCAAGTAAATCTTTCTTGGAAGTCACGATGCTTTCTTAAGATCTGTTCATGATTTTTAAACTTAAAAATATTAAATTGAGGAAGGGTCACAGCAGCTGAAACTTGCAGACAGGCACCACAGCGACACCTTCCAAAATACATTAGTGCTGTCAATTTTGCAACAGAACATACTGGCTGCAAATTGACTGTTCATCCTCCTCTCTTATCCAGAACCAGATTTTCTCACAAAGGTATGTCAAAAAGCAACAGACACAGTTCACTGGGCTACACATAACTGCATCACTGTCTCCAGAGCACTCCGGCATCTTGGAAATTTATCACCACCACCATGGTGGAAAGCCCCAGCACCACAACACAAACATTCCTTGCCATTAGCTGGGCTATATGCTAAACCAACTGCTTAGTGCTATTCACATCATAAAAATATTTAAGGCTAACTCAATATATTAAGACAACACTGCAGTGTCGACAAACACACACAATAAAACACTTCCGTGATGTTTGTAACTTTATCCTACTTTACTATCTTAGATGAACTGAGTAGCTGCATAGAAGGTGTCTCAAACAAAATAGATGTATGGAAGTTTTAGACTCTAGAATACCATGAAACATGCACTACAGTGAGTGCCATACGGAGATTTAGGTGCTTCTGTGTCTCCTTCCAAAAATCTCAAGTGGTGCTCGTGGCTTAGCACTTATCAGAGCCATTTGGAGCACTTATGCTGAAGCTGTCGTGAAGGACACCAATATCAGTTTTTCTCCAAAATTTAAACTAACAAGTCAAAATATTTGTGAAGAGGGGCTGAAGGTGTTACAATGAAAACCATTCCTCACTACAATGTAACTGCTTGTGCTCTATCCAAGGTCCTACAGGAAGGTAACTGTTTGGAGGGGGTTTTGTGCAACAGACAGTTCACAGCGTACACCCTAAAATAATGCAGTTTAGCTCTCATCCTTGCGACAGCATTCAAGATCACCAGCTCAGCCAAAGAACTAACTGTACACAGTACAAACTTAATCCTACCAGCACTATCAGTACTGATGATTCCTGCAGCCCTCACTATTCTAAGAATGGAATGCTACAACCAGCGACAAATAAATGGATTTTAAGAGTAACCACTCACTAAAAAGAGTAAACCTATCACAAACAACTTGTATCAGCAATATTCTATGAGCAAAAATAAAGTACATTAGAAGAAAATGCAGTCTTCCAGCAGTCATTGAGTATTGCAAACAACTGCAGCATTTCAATTAATGTACAAGAGTGATTACACATAAATCATCAGTCAGATATGGCTTTTGAGGACATACAGAAGAAAGTTCTATCCTTTTCACTTAACCTTCCAGTTTTGTGACTGTGATGGGTTGAAATACAAGCATTTTGGGAAATAAACCAGACTAATAACCCCACTCTCCATTTCTACACCAAGTATTAATATCTACCTTCAGGTACCAAAACTGCAAAGCTTTGTTCTTCTTCAGTCTAACAGTCATATTTGACAGAATCTTCCATTCAGGGCAAAACTCAACTCAATTTCAAATTTGCAGCAGTTGAGAGTTTAAATCACGGCTGCAAATCACATCACCATTCCAAATAAAGTACAAAAATAAATTAGCACAAGGATACATATGAGCCATTTTGATTAATATGATCCACCTGGCATTTTGCTGTGACGCCAGTAAGAACAGAATCTAAGTCTCCAAGAACATTTCTGTGTCTCCACCATAAAGACAGCTTAGCCTCAATTACACTCCATCTTCCAAATTTTTCAAGACATAAATGAGAAATTGTCCTCAGTGAACAGTCTTTGTTCTACACTATCTTACTCATTCCTCAAAGCACAGTTGTTCCTCAAAGCACAGCTCTTCCTGCTCACTACTCAAGGCAGTGATACATTGAGGAAATCCAGAGTACAGTAAAACAACTATGATTTTTCTCATCTTCTGCTGCCTTGCTGTAATGTTTTCTCACTCCAATGACGCACCAGCACCTGGAGCTTCTGCTAAAATGCATTTCCTGGCTCATACTCAATTCTTCCTCATTAAGTACCCCACGTGCTCTTCTCATCATAATTCAAATTAGCTTTATACATTCAATCAGACAGTTCATTTTTATCCTATCCTCAAAACAAATATAAAATGCAAAAAAACTCTCATAATATGCTAGCATAGAATATTTAAGTAGCTAAGACATTCATGAGCCATACAGATTTCCTACACAGCACAGAAAAACAGCCCTGAATCCATCTCCAATTCAAGAACAGAACATGCAATAAAATAGCAATGAATTGAACCAGGGTGCCCGAGGTACAGACAGCCTCTGACCTCTCACACTTGGAACTGTACAGAGAGCTCAATAACACCACCAAGAAGACAGGTAAGTGTGTAACAATAATACACTGATGGAAATGGAGAAAACTGTACCTGCACAGGTAACACATAGTATGCCAAGTCCAAATATTCTTTTACATGACTGTGCAGCATTTTTGTAGCAAACAGGTCTCGCTGCGCAGGTC